GTATCATGATACAATAAATCAATCTCTTCATAATAAGGACATGCCAGATTTAATTAGAATATCTACAAGAGATAGAAGTTAATTTCAGTGAAATGTGTAATTGTTGTCTGAGAAATCTTATAGACAGCCCTATAATTTAGCAAGAGCACTTAAAGGGACATTCCAGACCCCTAAAGCACTTTAGCTTGCTGAAAAGCTTTATGTGTGAGGAGTGTGTCCTGCTTTCCTATTTTGGAAAAAGTGCAGATTTCTATAGAAATTTACACTTTTATAAATGATCCTGGTTACTCCCCACTGACTTTCAAGCAGACAACTGACAAACTGTTTTTAGATATACCTCCAAGAAAAAATGCATAATTAATTGCATGCAAGTTTTCATTTGCGGTATAGCTACTAAACAGTGATTTTTATTTATTTTGTATTTAGAGGGTGTAATGTCCCTTTAATAAAATGTAAAAGACAACATACTTTCATTGGCTTGGATTTTTTTTCAGGACCTCTTCAACACTTAATAAGAGACATGTGCAATTAGTTGCAGAAGTCCAGGATTGCTGAATTTCGCAAGAGCCGAACCGAAGTGTCGAATTTTGGAAGTGCCGAAGTGCTTCAGATTTCTGAAAAGTGGCAAAACAGGAGAGGGAAGTCTCTAGGGGGAGATCGTCTTGTGTTTTGTATACAAATGTACAATTAGCAGACAATATTATTTCTTCCACTCAACATTCCACCATTCTCGTTAAACACCTTCACTATCAAGCGGTTAGCGGTTTTCAAAATAAAAAAAAAACACCACCAGAATACCAGCATTTCAGGTGTCCTCAGTATACACAGATAGCGCTTTATTAAATAGAACCAAAAAAGAAAAATTTGGTCTCAGTTGTGCGGAATTCGTTTGAATTGGCTAAAATCATGTATACACAATTGGCGACATAAAGAGATTTGAACAAATTATGAGGAAAGTTTACTATTAGTTTGTGATCTGTTTCAGAAATGCCCCCTTTGATTTCCTGAACAGCTGGGTTTATGCATATTTCAATGATACTTGTATCTAATGGATTGTAATTAGAGTTTTTGTTTAGTGATGTAATTGACACTAACAGCAGAAATATTCATTCTTGGTATTTGTGTTCTGTAATGCCAACTGTGTGGTAGATTTAATGCAGCTATTTTGTAAAGGCGTGATAAGTACATATAACCATGGAACTGGCTCACGGCGTAATAGCTAAACTAAGAAAACCAGACGTCTGCCTACTAAAAGTATTCTGAGCTGCATTAGAATAAAAAGCTGCCTTGTAAGTAATTTCCCTATTTTATGGGAAATGTTTACTTTAATTCAAGAGATACCATCGCCTACAGGATAGTCAACAGAACTTTTCTGCATTTCATTTGGTCTAGATAGTAATCTTTTTTTTTTTTTTTGCCTGTCAATTATGTATACATTTTGGGAACAAATAAATAAAATAAAAATGTTCAGCAGTATTCTTCATCTAGTTAGTGCTCATGTCCACTGTCCTTTAGTGCCTACCAGCTTCTCTCAAGTGTGTCTGCAGAGGTTACTGTAAGACTCAGCAGCTGGCCCGGATTGGTCGGAAATTCTCCACTAACACCGCTTTACCCAAGCACCAATGGCTGCCACCAGGGTGCCTCCAAGAGAGGAAAGCATGCTGTCCTAGTGTAGTACTACAAGTACTCCATAATTCTGACCTAAAGCCAGCTGTCCTGGAATGGTACAATGATAGACTATGATCCAGCTTAAACTGAATTGTTTTATTTCTGTTTTCACCCACATACAGTGGCATACATACAGCGGTCGCAGGGGTCTCATCATCCCTGCGCCCGGGTGCCTGCCACCATCTGTTGCAGCCCCGGCCCACACGATGTAACCGCCGGGGCCGCACGTTAAGGGGTCCATCAAGTGGCCCATGCTGTTAGGGCCACCTGATGGCTATGAATTTCCAGGGGGCCCAGGTCAGCGATGCAGCACTTTAACAGCGTGACCGTTCCCCCTTTGATGACATCACAGCTTGGAGGAAGTGACTGCTCCGTCACTCCTCCTAGCTTACAACGGGAGCCGCGTGAGAGGAAGAGAGGAGGGAGTCAGAGTGGGGACTCCCATCAGGCTGAGCCACCACTGTAACCCAGGGAAGTCACCCTCCTGCATCTAAAAGGTAGGAAACAGGAGGGTGACTAAAATATTTTGTGTATATGTGTCTGTGTCTTAATGTGTGTCTGTGTGTCCGTCTGTGTGTGTGTGTGTGTGGGTATGTTTGTCTGTGTGCTTGCATGTATGTGTCTGTATATATGTGTCTCTGTGTGTGTGTGTTTGTATGTATGTGTCTGTATGCATATATGTGTGTTTGCATGTATATATGTGTGTTTGTATGTATGTATGTATGTGTGTTTGTACGTATGTCTGTGTGTACCCATGGATCAGTTTTTGCACCGGGGCCCCATGGATCATATGTACACCAATGCCCACATTTATCATCAAGAGAATCTTTGGGGATTGTAGGAGCCTACATACAATCTGAGACTGTATTTCTATATTATAATTCATTCTAGATTCACACTAGATTTGGGCCTGTTCTATGCTTATTTTACATAACTCTTGTAGCATCCACCACTGGACCAAAGAATACATGATAAATCCTCAGTTGGGGTTTATACCACACAGGCTCAGCATAGTAGAGCTACCTCATAGCTCCACACACTGTAAGTACACGACTTCTTTTTCTTGTATTTATTCACATCAGAAATACAAAATAATGAAATAGAACCAAACGGTATGCTTACATACAAATAGTCATAAATGGGAAATGGAATAGTCCTGGTTTAAAGACATAAAGATAAAAAGTCCAACTTGACTGAGGAACTTGAGTGAGGTATGGAGCTGTTGGTCGTAAAGATTGTGAGGTAGTCGGATATTCAGGTTCCGTTGGAACATGTAAATGAGAAAAAAATCCAATAGTGTAATCTGTATCTGGTAGTGTAAAAGAGGAGTTTAGCAGCAATGGTAATACTCATACTCACCTTTTAGAGAGCTAGTACAAGCTCAGGTGTAACTGGCAATCAGTGGCGTCGATCCCCCACTGGTAGGATGTAGGTGATGGTAGGTAGTGAATGTCCTCGGTATGGGGAAAAAGACAAAACAGAAATAGTGCTCTCTGTATATAGTAATACAAAGTTGGTATATAAACGGTATAATACTCACATTTAAGTGAGCAGGATGTACTGCTCACTATAGTAGTGTGGGTGGTATAATAGTACATAAAACATTTTTTTTTTACTGCCAGTTGATGAAGCCCTGTTTTGGCTGTTTTTAATACTTTTTTATATGTACTATTAAAGGAATATTGGCCCCTTAACCTTGTGTGTGCCATATACCTTCTCTACATATTATTTTATCTTCTAACTTGGTCATCAAGAGCATTGGAGTATTCACTCACGCAAGAATCCCAGGTGGGGATTATACCACCCACGTTATTATAGTGAGCAGTACATCCTGCTCACTTAAATGTGAGTATTATATTATTTATATCCCAACTTTTTATTACTATATACAGAGAGCATTATTTTTGTTTTATCTTTTTCCCCATACCGAGGACCTTCATCTACATCCTACCAGTGGGGCATCAACGCCATTGATTACCAGTTACACCTGAGCTTGTACTAGCTCTCTAAAAGGTGAGTAGGAGTATTACCATTGCTGCTAAGCTCCTCTTTTACACTACCAGATATAGATTACACTATTGGAATTTTTTTCTTATTTACATATTCCAACGGAACCTGAATATCCGACTACCTCAGAAACTTTATGACCAACAGATCCATACCTCACTCAAGTTCCTCAGTCAAGTTGGACTTTTTATCTTTATGTCTTTAAACCAGGACTATTCTATTTCCCATTTATGACTATTTGTATGTAATTATACCGTTTGGTTCTATTTCATTATTTTATATTTATTGTTTTTACTGCAGCTTGACCTGATTTTTGTTTTAGTACAGGCTGTTTAGCATGTATAGATTGAGGATGGAGTAATAGATGTCTAGGCACTCCAGAGATTCTTGGAGATTAAATACACGGACAATATAGGCACCCAGACCACTTCATCGCATTAAAGTGATCTGGGTGCAGTGCCAGTGTCTGTTTAGCCTTACAATTTAAAACTGCAAAATTACATTGCAGCCTAAAACCTCTATTGACTGTCTTTCAGACTGCCACTAAAGGCACTCTGGTTGCAGTTTTATTTTGCTACTCGACGTTAGACGACCTCACGTTTTACATGATGAGGTCTAACATCTTCTATGTTCCCCATAGAAAGGCACTGATTTGATGGTTTCCCATCGGGAATATTGAATGTGCATGAGGCACTCGCTACACATGCGCATAAGGTCTCACCATTGCAGTGACGTTGCAAGCCGAGTTAGTTTTGGTGCTTTACAGAGGGGTTTTAACCCTTTAATTGTACAATGGTGGGACACCTAGAAAACTAGGAACAGGAACACTATAGCGTTAGGAGTACAGATTTGTTAGGAATACGTTTGTATTCTTAACACTATAGTCTTCCTTTAACCCTTAAATGCAGTGAACTGTTGCACTGCAATATAGAGGTGGTCAGTAGTTAAGACAATAAACATCTTAGAATATGTGATACCTTGTGTCAGGTATATTATCCAGAATGCCTCTGATTCTGAAGTTTCGTTGTCTATTCTTATCATCTGCATCCGCTATTTTCTCTATAATGGTAGTGTGGACCTGCTTGAGTCATTCTGCCTCCAGATTCCTCCTCCATTGCTTGAATACATATCTTTTATAACCAATGCAATATCTGCAGCAAATCATTCTTTAATTTCAGTGAGCATGTTCCTGATATCAGCCTTGATGACAGGTAAGTGCTCCTCTGTGGATGTTTAACACGTTGGTCTCTTCTTTAGCCCTGGAACTGCCTCCATGTTGTCTTAGAGGGCAGCAGCTTTGAAGATAAGCGAAGCATGTCTGCAATGTCTTTAGAAAAAGAAACCAAATCGCTTCTGTGAATCTTAAATCCCTTTCCAATAGCAGTGTCCAATGGAATATTGGTAAGACAAAATTAATATGCAGAATTCAGAAAAATAAATAAACACTGTGTCTCTGGAGCTCTGAGAATATGCATCTACTTTGTTCTGTCACTTTTTGTGTTTTTTTTTTTAGTGTCAATTTAAAAATTTGAGGTACCCCCATAGAGGACATGCATATTGTCACCTTATTGCCCTCTTTTTGGATGTAATGTTTAATTTTACACTGTGGCCAAGGAGTGGCTCTGTATGCGACTTTTAGCAATCGTTTTTAAAACTGCTGTTCGATTCTTCTTTGATTCTCATATAAAATTAGTTATTTTGGGTATTAACGCACATAACCATCAGACAGTAGAAGGCTGGTGACTGCGTGAGTAGATGGAAATTGTAGATGACATGTAGCCAGACTGGATGCAGGTTAGCTGATTCTGGAAAGGTGTCGCCTTCCGCAATTCTTAAGTTATGCATTGGTTTCCTGAATAAAGCATATGATATAAAGATTTTGTGTATGAAGACAGTGTGCCTGCTCTGGGGAAATAATACATGAGGAATTCACTTTGGCAGGAAACATAATGGACGGTAATGTATCTCACAGATGGCCTTTTGGAATTCAGTCAGTAATTTAAAAGACAACCACCATAATGTAAAGAGGGTTTCAGAAAAATTGCAAATATAATTAGTATAACTATATTTCCCATCACTCCCCTTGTGTGTGATGGCTGAGTAAGATGTGTGTGGGGAGACTGTGTGACTTCAGCTTCCCCAAAACATTTCATTTTGAATTTTCTTATTTAAAGGAACACTCCAAGCACCATAACCACTACAGTGTGCCATTTTAGAATGGTTTGACTATACCTGGGGACTGCTGGGCACTGCTTCCCATTCTGCATTCTTCGTACTGTAGGACTTAGCTCAGTGGTGTGGCATTGGGACACTCTTGGCACCATAGTTACTACAAGATGCTGTAGTAGTTATGGTGCTTCTTGTAGTATGCCCCACTTATGCATACCTGCATAAATAGATTCCTGATGGTCTGTTAATACAGTTTCCTGCTGATCTGGAGGAGACATGTGTGGTACGTGCCTCTGGCAGTCTCAGACCACAGTAAATGCTTCTTCTGGTCAAGGGCTCAGCATTGAATCAAAGCAAAGGCTAGAGAACCAGGCAGCTGTGCCCTGATTCATTCAATGAGCACAGGAATTGCAAACAAGCATTTACTGTGGTTGGAAAACAGTGAAGGTGCATACTACAATGGTATCTTCTTCCAGCATCACTGTAATCCCGTTTCTATTTTATATACTGACGAATCTACAATGCATGAAATACAAATCAAAATACAATGTGTCAAGGGAGCCATAATTGCAGGTGTAGTCATGTTCCCAAACCAGTTCACCCATAGTGACACTACAGCATAAATACATAGACTAACACTTGTAGTCACATACAGGCCCGGACTGGCCATCGGGCACACCGGGCAAATGCCCGGTGGGCTGCAGTGGCCATGGGGCCGAGGCCGGCAGGGAGATCACATGATCTCTCCTGCCGGTCTTTGCAGGGCCGGCGCTATCTGAACGCCGGCCCTGCAGTAGTCTCCAGCGGGCCGGTGGGGAGATCAGAGATCTCCCTCACCGGCCCACATGCAGGATAGTGTGGCCGCCGGGGGAGAGAGGGAGGGAGCCAGCCTGCCAGCAGAGGAACCCGGCGGAGCTTTAACTAACAGCTCCGCCGGGTTCCTCTCACGAGATTCGGAGCGTTGCCATGGCAACGCTCCGGGTCTCGCGAGAGTGAACTCTAGCCTCACAGGCTAGAGTTCACTCACCACTAAGACCACCAGGGATGGATTGCAGCCCCAGCAGCAGGATCCCCCTCCAAGGCTAAAGGTAAGCAGGGAGGGGGAAAATAATCACCTAACTAACATCAGCCTCACAGACACCCAAAACACTCACAGCACACTCATTCACACACACACACACACACACTCACACACACTCACACACACACACACACACACTCCACCCCTGACACTCACACACACACACACACACACACACGCACCCCTGACACTGCCACACACACACACACACTGCACCCCTGACACTCACACACACACACACACACTGCAACTCCCTGGACACACACTGTAACCCCTGACACCTCACACACACACACTGCACCCCCTGACACACACACACACACACTGCACCCCTGACACCTACACACACACTGCACCCCCTGAGACACCTCACACACACACACACACACACTGCACCCCTGACACTCACACACACA